TTCGTGACCTTTGCCGCTTACATGGAGTTTGTTCGCATCAGCGTGTGCCACTTTCTCAATTCATGGTCCTCTCCGAGAACGTCGTTGTTCATTTCCGTAATGAAATATGTTTCTGACCTTTTCTCCCAGTCATTGCTTGCAGGCTTTCGGGTGGCCAAAATCGATATGTGCAAAAGAACCGGTCTGTGAGACCTCTGCGCATCGTCCAGATTGTTGTACTTTCATTTTCCCGCATTTTAGTAATGACCGGTGCGTCGCTCTAGCGTGCTTGCTTCTCCTTCACGTATCGGCTAGTGATTGGAAAATAGTAGCTGATTTGGTTGCATTATTCAGGTAACTGAGGCAGGACGTGTAGAAAACTTAGGTACGGCATGCGCATAAGGGCGCTCGGCTGTCGGGACGGATTTCCCCCTCCTCAGTATTCTTTATTTTCTACTTAATGGGCATGCGGAGTGCATCTAGTTTTACAGGAAGCCGGGCTTTTTATCTTCCCTTCTCAGTGGGTTTTAATGTTTATCGTTGATATTCATGCATTACGCGCCTTCCATTCCGGCCCGGTAGGCATGCCTTTGCCTCGCTGCGTCTAAGCGTGCCAATGATTATCTACCATCTGGTGCATTATCCTGTCTTCTTTTTTTTACTTCTGACGGCTAACTTATCTCTATATGTACTTTTGTGTTTCTCAGTCGCCTCTCCCGGTATGACTTAACGTACTTTTGTTGTTCTTAAATGTAGTTGAAGCCGGTCGGGGAAAGAAGAAAGGCAGCCTTAAATCCACTCCCTTAGAAGCTGTTCCGGAGGCCGAGGCGCTGACTGGCAAAGAGGCTTCATCGGAGGAAAAGAAGAAAAAGAAACCACGTGCACGCAAAGAGAAGTCGGTTCTGCAGACCAAACTAACGAAATTGGCTATCCAGATCGGCTACGCAGGTAATGCCATCACGAAGACCGAAGTTCATCTATTCGCTTTTTTATATCAGGGCATTATTTGCATGTTCATATTTGATTTCTGGCAAGAATCGCCCCAGAATACATTATCATTATTTTTATCCGTTCATGTGCTTATCCACGCAATAAGATTGGTTTTTAATAGGTCAGGCTTTGTTAGCGTCTGACTTGCACTCCCCTCCCATATCAGTTATAGGAAGAACTGACGAAGCTGAAGCCGCGTTTATGCCTACGCCAAAATTACTAGGCTTCGATGTCCCTCGAACTAGTTTCCAGTTGGGAGATTGGAATGGCCATTTCTGGCTTCCTAGCCGTCACCAACCAGCCATAGGCAGCCCCAGGGCCAAAGACCCCCCGAGGCTCGAACCTGCGACGTTTTTAGTTAGAAGTCCAACGTGTCACGGGCTCCTTCCCTTATCTGTTTCGATCTCGACCCTCTACCCATCTATATGTGTTTGTGTGTGTATGTGTGCTTGTGTGTGCGTATGGGAGGAGAAGGAGGACTGAGAGTCAGGCTGC